AAATATATTTTTCTTACCATTTTAATGAAGTAATTGTGACAATATGATTTATTCTTAACATATAACCTTTTGCTTCTCAGAACTTTATAATAGTTCTTTATTGATTTATCTGTACAGTTCTAGGAGATGGAAACATTATCGATCAAGAATAAATCATATTGTCACAAGCATTTCATGAAAAGGGTACTAAAGAACATTTATTCAAACTTTTGTGGCAAAAGTGTATTTCTTTGTCATGGTTTTATATATTTTTCGCATTTATTATAATTTTTTTTCCCTGAGAGACCTAGTAGTTATTTCATTCACGCATTGTATTTTCGTTGTCGTTTGTCACTACTCAATTCAAGGCCTCTGTGGAATTCCTGCTATCAATATGATCATTGAGATCTGAACAATAATCTTGCTCAGCATTAATTATTATTTTAAAAAACTAAAAATATGACAGGAATAATGAAGATTATTGGCTGTCTTTTCGATTGTCTTTTTCATTTTGCGAATAAGGACGTGCAATGGTCAGTTTATGGAAACATGTCAGATACATTTTATTTCAAAATATATAAAGAAAAGGAGCTAGCTAATTATCCTGCTTTTTCTTTGAAATAACAGAATTTGACTGCGCACAACATCAGGGGGGCGTTTCACAAAACTTGACATCAGTGACAAATGACAGTCTTTGTTATAAGCTACTGAAATCCTTGCTTTTGATTGGTTATAAGCAGATTTGTCACTGATTTTTGTCATTTGTCATTGAAAGAAGGCTTTGTGAAACGGGTCCCAGTTCTGAACATGCAAGCATCGTTTCGAGATGTTTGCAAGCCTAACGCTGGTCCTTATTTATTTTAAGGATTTGTGTCATGTAGTTGTCTTAGCTAGAATAGTGCTTATTTATTCTTAAGCGTTGTTATCTGACGGGTAGATTGGCCTTGGGGTAGATTGGGGGCAACCCCCCCCCCCCCCACCCCAAACAAAAAACCCACAAAACTAAGATACGATTAAAGATCCAGGGTTAGCTCTGCATGAAATCTACTATATTGACATAAAATTCATATTTTGCAGATTTATACACTCTACAAATTTAAAGGGCCCGGTACCGGCAGTGTGTCCATATCTCACTCCTATTATGTATAATATCTTTGGATCCAAGTTCTCACACTCTACATGTTGCTTCTAACGTGTGTCTACAGGGTAAAATAAACCATTTGAAGAACAAAGCTGTCAGTATATACCACTCGACCCTTTTAAATGGTGATTTAACATCTCAGTTTTAAATAGTGTGTATTAATATAAGAATAGGGGCCAGTATATAGCTCAGATATAGCCCATCATCATTGATGCCCATACCCCCCCCCCCTCCCCCCCCCCCCAAAAAAAAAGAACTCCCAGCGAAAAATAGAACAATACCCTCGTTATCTGCTACCCATCTTTGACAAGACATAGTTTTATCTGTATTTTTGTCGCTGTCAGCTGAACAGCTGATTTTTTCCCCCCTTCTTTTGGGCACTCGTACGTGACGCTGATTCGGGACAAGTCGAAAAGGGCTCTTGGTCTGGCCGATCTGCGTGTGTCTGTCTGTCTTTCCATCTGTCTGTCAGTCTGTCTGTCGGTCCCTTTGATAACTCTGAAAGGACGCCAGTTTAAGGTACTATGGACTTTTTTTTCCTTTCAAACCTTCTTCTGAAACGTGTGTGTGCATTATCCACAGGTATTTTGTGGTGCTTGAGAAAATGGTTGACTATTTATATGGTAGACATGTACATTGAGTGTGTTTAAAACGGAATTGATTTCGTTGTGAGTTCTGTATACTTTTTTAACTGTTGTTCTTGAAAGTCTACAAAGTTGAAATAAATCACATTATTTAAAGGTACTATGTCCCTTTTGCAGCCAACCTCAAATTCTGTAGAACTTTGCAGGAATTATGAATGTCCTATCTGTGAAATTTAAATGTTAGCAGTCTACTCATATTCAAATTATGCAAGGAAACCCGTTTACTTGCTAGACTTCACTGTCAGACACTATTGAGTGGCTGACTGGCTTTTTTCTTCTTTGGTAATAACATACATGAAAAGAGTTGTAAAGGGTACATGAGCATTTGTCTACATCAATAACCCACTTCTTGTGATGGCCAAGATTAAACTGATTGAATCTTTGCGCAGCATAAAACGTATGACCATTCGGTACAATTGTCTGAAAATCAAGACTATTACTTTTGGGCTCTATAGCCCTAAAGTCGATTTGACAACTAATAGTCATTATTTTCCTACTTGAAGACATTTTCAAGCCCCAGCTTTTTAGGGAAGTTCTAAATAATTATTATCTTTCAAATACAGTTGGAATTTTATTTTTTTATTTTTTTGGCCTGCAAATGGGACATAGTACCTTTAATACATTCGGTCATATTTAAAGCACTCATTCTCTTTTGGTCAGTTCTAGATACTTGAAATGATGCAGATTGTTTTTGACATGTTTTATTCATCACATAAAGCAATTAACCGCGCTGCATATATATAATTCCTGAAGAAAATACAAATTAAATATGAAAAGCTTTACCAACTAACTTCACAATCTAATCATTAATATTATTTAACACGGTTATAATAGCTTTCTCGTATGTAAATTAAATTAATTTAATAGCTATGCTTGTATAGGCATGATATTTATCATAACTATCTTCTGGCTTCGGAATATTCAGCCACCAGTAGATTCATTTCTTTATAGAATTGCGCGTCTTTTTTTTTTATTATTCTTTTCGTATCATTGTGTATAATATGTTTGTGTGTGTGTGTGCGACTGAAGATTGATGCTCTTTTTCCATAATGATTCATCTATTTCTGTCCATGATAGAAACAAAAATACTTAAACTGATGACAACGTAAAAAACAAATAATATGATCGGTACATTGTCAAAGAAAAGTTATTACATTATAGCCGTAGCACAAAGAAAGATTGTCACGTAAGCGGAGCTTGAATGCCAATCCTTCGCAAAAAATAGAAATGATAGGAATAATCCAAGTTCTTATAATCGATAAGAAATGAAACTACGACTCGACGCCCACTATCATAGCTGTGAAGATTTTTATGGCCAAATTCTAGATCAAATTTCCTTCGATATTCATCCATTATCCTGGCACTACCTGGTTCGAGTATCATTGATATTCACATTTAAAGGGATCGTTTAACAATGTTAAATATGAGATACACGGCCCTACGTTTGATCAGTGTCTGTGTCTCTGTGATATGGTGTAATATTGAAGCCCTACAAAAATCGCGCTTCAAAATGATCAAGAAGTGCCTCAAAAAAGTAAAAATCTTTGAGTGACCGGTTTTACCATACTCGTTTTACCCAATAGACTGTAGTTTTATGATAACCGTTTGGCAAACGGTTTTCAAAATTTGTAATTTCAATCATAAATATCTTGATAATCAGACATGCGATGGGCTTGTAAAAGTCGTGGGCTTCCTGACTGACCTAAAGGTTTATAATTATTATTGCAGCATGAGCTAAATCCAGAATTTTGTTTCAGAATCTGAAACAAAGTTACCGGATCCCTTCAAGAAGATAATAATTAAAACCTTAAGGCAGGTGTCCCGGGCATGAAAAAAGATTAATATTTAACCGTCAGGCTACCAATTTACGTTGGGTCTATATTTAGCCATGATCAAAGTGCGTAGTGGGCGCGAAACAAAATGATGTGGGCGATGTTTTTTTTCTTCTCTTTTTAAAAATTTTATTTATATGGTGGGCGATGTTCTTTCTTATTAGCATGTGAAAGATAATTGTTTAAGGGTTTAGTTAACGCATTTTCGGATGGAAGTTAAATGGCAATTGTTCATTTAATATGTACGAGTGTGCTGAGCTTCAATTAAAAAGGGGCGGGGTTGGACTGATAATAATGACAATAACAAGTTCCGACAATGAAAGCGAAATATTTCCGGAGGAGACAAAGACGAGGAAGATGGTCGAGAATAAGAAACAGTACCAGACAAAAGTAGAAAAAGACAAGTTCGTTCGACTTCAAATACAAAGTGCAGACAACAAATATAAGTGCTACCTTGCATTAATGGACCTTTATCTATATTTAAACTTTATTATAATATGTCTTTCGCAATGTTATTATACTGATTACGTGGGACATGCATCCTTGGTTTGAAGTATGTTCATATGCCTTACACGTGACCTTCTACGTCACCGCTCTATAATGTTGCTGTATCATGTTTTCCTTCAGCACTATGGCCAATGCAAAATAACTACGTTAGTTGACGATACTTCAACTATTATAACTGCCGATTGTCATTCTTTCTTTCTGTCTATTTCCTGTATATACATTCTTCTTCTCCTTCTTGTTTTTGTTCTCCTCCTCTTTATTTTCCCTTTTCTTCTTCTGCTTCTTCCTTTGAACCCTTATCTAAGTGGACAGGAATATCGAATTGAGTGCAGATATGCGTTTCTCGTTGGTGTATTACTTGCGGAATAGGATACGTCGATGATGAAAATTAAGAAGACTCAATTAATAATCTGACTCTGAATATATCGGCCTAAACCACTTTATCCATAAGTTTGTTGGCACGTTCTCATGTAGTATATTCTACAAGCGAAATATTATAATTCACAAATATTCTGTGTTCACTTTGTATCTTGTCGCTTCGCGGGACCACTGAAAAGTTATCGAAAGTTTGACGAGATATACAATCAACTGATTTGTTTTAACATTTTCATTTATGTTTGTTGGGTGGTTTGTTTAATTTCAGCTAGGCCCTACAACATTTTTACTTTCATCTTGTTAAGATTGCTACACAACGATGTCGTTATAGTGCCGGTTGCAATCACGATGGAGAAAAGAAGTTTTGATGCCACATTATAATTAAGTGGCCAAAGGAAATGAAAGTGCATCATGTCTATTTTTATGATGTCTTCCTTATCAAAATGATTTGAATTCACCAGTGCTTAATGGATTGTGAACTAAACCCGTCTTCCGTTTCCTTATTTCGTCTTCACAGATATCTAGCAAACGAAAACCACGATCCATATCATTCTCTCTCAGTCGACTGCTATCTTCGCTTGAGCCTTGCTGACTGAGACGAGTTCTCTGATTGGATACCCGCATCCCGTCACCTTATCAATGACCAATCACGTACAGAGTCTCATCGTTTCGTCACCAGTCTGCGTGGAGCTGGTCGCAGAGTTTGCGCGCGACCCAAGACTACCAATTCTTCCAAAATTTAGTCTGCAAGAGAGACTCGACCGACAACGGACCGCTGACAGTGGTAGCTCAATCGTAAATCGGTATATGTCAATGATTTGCCAGTAACTGTAGCTGCTCGCAGAAAAGGAAAAGGAAATAATAATTTGATGATTTTGACAAGGAATTAAACGGATATATCTTTCAACATGTACGGCGAGAAAAGCGATGACGAGCACAAATACCGGTGCATCGACCATGCGATGACGGCGGCGTTCTTCAAGTTCGGCCAGCTCGTTTCCCGACATCGTATCTTCTTTCTCTTGATGCCGCTCGTGGTCGCCATCGTGTGCGTTCACGGCATCACGTGTCTCACCATTCAGGACGACGTCGTCTATCTCTTCACGCCTACGGGTAGCCCTGGTCGTGCTGATGGCGAAGTCTTCAAGACTTATTTTCCATCTGGAGACAACGAGACGGAATTTTTACCCAACCGAGAGCTGATCGATCGGCAGGTAAGGATTGTATTTAAATGGATCCTGTAACTTTGTCTCAGATTCTGAAAGAAAATCCTGGGTTTAGCTTATGCTGCAATGATAATTATAAACCTTTAGGTCAGTCAGGAACCTTATGACTTTTACAAGCCGATCGCCTGTCGAAACCAAATTCATGCGTTTTCTAACGGTTTTCATTACACTACAGTCTATTGGGGGTAAAACGAGTATGGTGAAACCGGTCACTCAAAGATTTTTACTTTTTTGAGGCACTTCTTAATCATTTTAAAGCGCGATTTTGTAGGGCTTCAATATTACACCATATCACAGAGACACAGACACTGATAAGACGTAGGGCCGTGCATCTCAGATTTAACATTGTTAAACGATGCCTTTAATAGTTTGTTATTTTGGGTAAAATTATTTTACTTTCATGAGTGATCCGTATATTTTCAAGGGAATGTGTAAAAATATGCTAAATATTTTGCATTGCACGTAAACCGAATTTGAGCTATACACTCTAAAGTGCAAAAATATTTATGGAATTCATAAGAAGTTGTTGGTTGGTATAGAGTATAAATCATGTTTGGTAAATGATGCAATATATAATGCTTTATAGGTCGGTCTCCTGAAAGTATACTACAGTTTGATTAGCAATATAACATTTCTACAATAAAACATACAGTTACATACAAAAACCAAAAACGTATTTCTAAATGATTGCGTCTATACAGTGTGTCCCGAAAAAAACTATACACTTTTGAAATGGCTGCCGAATAACAAATATATGATTCTAGGGGAAAAGTTATATATGTATGGAAAGCTCATATACTCATCTTTCATATGACACCAAAAGTTGTGAAAATAATTCATGCTCGGGTGAGCACTGCTCACTTTTGTAAAGGGTATGAAAATTAGGTTGCGCAGGAATTAGCCTTCCAACGTGTGAGAGGTAAATCCTTTGGAGCCTACGGAATTGAGGATGATATGACCAATTTATGATCAATTGTGATGAGTTTGGGTTTGCTGAGTGAAATGTTTGGTTTATGGGATTAACGTTTTATGCATGAGTGAACGGGAATTGCATTTTTTATTGTAGCACTGTAACTTCCCTGTTAGAATCAGTGGTGTGTTCATGGGAGTCAGGATGGGGTGATGGTACATGTTGTAATTTCCATGTTACAAACTGTTATTCTCTTACATCTGTGACTTTGAATAAAAACCTTCACCCCACATTTCAATTATTGTAAGATTAGTTGAACATCTCATTGATTTATTCAATACCCAGGTAGGGATAATATAAATCGAATATTCAAATACGGTTTGTTGAAAAAAGGAATGTCCAAGATGTCGGCTACTTATTCTTCAGGTAAATGGTAACTGAAATGTGGGGTGAAGGTTTTTATTCGAAGTCACAAATGTAAAAAAATAACAGTTTGTAACATGGAAATTACAACATGTACCATCACCCCATCCTGACTCTCATGAACACACCACTGAGTCTACCAGGGAAAGTTACTATGCTACAATAGAAAAATGAAATTCCTGTTCCGTGCATAAAAGTTTGGTTTAATAAACCATGGAATTAACTCAGCAAATCATGAATTTATCATATCACCCTCAATGTTGTAAGCTCCAAAGGATTTACCTCTCACACATTGGAAGGCTAATTCCTGCGCAACCTAATTTTCATACCCTTTACAAAAGTGAGCAGTGCTCACCCAAGCATGAATTATTTTCAAACTTGTTGGTGTCATATGAAAGTTGAGTATATGAGCTTTCCATACATATACAACTTTTCCCCCAAGAATCATATATTTTTTATTCGGCAGCCATTTCAAAAGTGTATAGTTTTTTTCGGGACACACTGTATAGGAAATGATGGTCTCTGATCAAACTAAAATGAGGTTTTATATTGCTTGGTTCAATTCCGGTAAGATCGATTTAGCTGAGAATTAAAGATACCTATCAATTGCCTGTGAATTAGATACGCCATATCGTTTTCACTGTTAATGCTATCATTTTCGTCACATGATTTTAATTCCAAATTGCCACATGTCAGCTCATTTGTTAGCATGGTAAGCTCGTCATGGGTATCAGTTACCGACAAAATTATTGATGGGTATTCAATAAACACTAGGTGCTTAATATGAATTGTTTTATCTCCGTATGTGTGCAAATGTAAACATGTAATTCCCATCAGAGGAGTAGAGGACAAATATTTTGAAGAAAAAAAGTTATCGTAGTGAAGTTAATATTTTTTTTTCGTTTTCAATATTGTCTTTTCCTTAAAAAATACCCAAAATAACCATGAGGGTCGATAATCTAGTTCATGTAACTTTCTTTTTGTACAGGAAGCTATTGGATCTAATAGTTAGCTCAAAATTCCCCAAATACTATTTTATCCAATAAAGACATTAACGGAAACAGGCTGAAAACGGATGTCACCGAGTCTCTAGCGACCCGTAGAGTAAATCGTTTTGTCATGATATAACACGATATCTTATGTGAAACTTATTAATGTACTTCGGCCATTAATTTTCTTTTATTTCCCCTATAAGCTCATCTTGACATTAAAAAAAATAACAATTACCTGACTATACCAATGGAACGAATGTAGCTACCATTTGAAAAGTTATTCCAGTAACTTATCTCAGTACCAAGTATTTTGGCGGCGTTATCATGGCAATGTTATCATGGCAATCATGTTATCATGGCAATCATGTTATCATGGCAATGTTATCATGGCAATGTTATCACGGCGTTATCATGGCAATGTTCTTCATCTGTTCTTCTTCTTCTTCATCTTCTTCCAGACCCGCGGTAGCATCATCGTCCGCGAGAAGGATGACGGCGACGTCCTTTCGACGGCGGCCTTCCGGGAGATCGCCCATCTGGACGAGCTCATCCGCACTTTCACTTTCACGAGCAACTACACCGACTACAGTTACAGCCACGTCTGCCAAACATGGCTCCACGCCTGCCATGACAACGTGCTCATGTCGATCCTACGGCATCAAGTCGAAGCGATGGACCATATCAACTTGACCTTCCCCTTCCTGCCGTTGCCCCCGCCCCACGAGGGGAGGGTGTTCGTCGGTAGCCAGCTGGGAGGGGTCGACCTGTACCCCAAGACGGATGTCATCAAGATGGCGAGAGCCATGCTGCTCATTTATAGCGTTACCAGGGAAACCCGTGAAGCGGAGGAGCTGGCGTACGAATGGGAGGAGCATTTCATCCAGGAGGTAAAGATTTCTTTTTCTTAGAATTTGAAACAGAATATAATTAGCTATTGAAACATGATCGTGTACAAATTATGGTTGACCAAAAAGTTAGCCGTTAAAAGTTTTAAGATAGGCCCTTCTAGTGATATCCAAAGCGTGTAGAGAAATTGACAAATTACCTTACGGGCATTTCACAAACAATCACTAGCCGAAACGATAAAAGCTCATTTTTAAATGATGGATGGCGCATATTGTACTTGGGAAGTCAAAACAAAAATATGCTTGACTTTTAATAGCGGTGTGATTATAAACTAATTCCATGCAAATATTTAGTTGTTCCCTTGTTAATCAGGCCCGTTGTTTTGACAATTCTAATGTTTAGTATAAATCTGAAACATTCTAATCACACCCTCTCGACGTATTTTATCAACAAAAGAACAATGCAAAAGGTAATTGATAAACATTTTGATAGGGCATCATTGTTTTCTGCGTTGTTAGGAATAAAAACCACTTTATCATCTAATGTAATGTTCTTTTCCTCTTTATTTTTTCTTTCTTAAGGTTGATAAATTCGCCGAATCAGCCGAGCACATTGTGATATCGTACGAGACTAGCTTCGGGCTCGCGGACGAGATCGGCGAGGCGAGCAAGCGCGTCATCCCCCTCTTCGTTGCGACGTTCTGCATGCTGGTCATCTTCGCGGTCGGGTCATGCATCATGCGAGATTGGGTGCAGTCGAAGCCGTGGTTGGGTCTGATCGGGGTCCTGTCGGCGTCGTTGGCCATCGTCTCGTCGATCGGGTTCCTGAGCTACTGCCGTGTCGAGTTCAACGAGCTCGTCTCTCTCATGCCTTTCCTCATCATCGGTAAGTTCGTTTGTGAGAGATGAAAGTGGCATGAATGGATGGTGAATAGAGGGGAAGGGGAGGGTTAAAAAAAAAACGAGATATGGGGGACTTTGAATGGAAGGAGGAGAAGGTTGGAATAAAAATGAGATGCGGGGAACTTTGAATGGAAGGAAGAGAAGGTGGCAGGGATGCCAATTTTTAGACAATGGCCTGAATTCAGGCCCGGGCGAGTTATTTTCAGACCATGGTTTAGGCTTTTTTGTGTACAAAATAGCTCATTCTAGGTGATTTTCAGGCCCTCTGATCAATTCTAACTGGTATCCCTTAGGTTGGAATATACGGGGAGGAAAACAGGAGCGGAAAACAAAGGCGGTGCAAAGGCATTTGGAAAGAAAAAGAAGTAGAAGAAGAAGGAAGAGGAGGAGAGGTCGTGGAGGAGGAAGAAAAATATGTTATTGGGAAAACAGACAATCATAGTCACTGCTTAAGGATTCTTCTTTTTCCAGGCAACTGCAATTTGTGGAATCTAGATCCTAATGACGAATACAATTCTAATTTAAAAAAATAGGAAAATGTTATGCACACGAATACTTATATTCCCTTTAGCGTTTTTTTATGTTATTTCCTTCATGAAAATATTCCCCACATGTGTAAATGCCTTTGTGGTAGTAAGTAGCACCTCTCAGAAAATGTGTCGACCATGCACCCACCCCTTTATGTCTACGGAGGTAATAAAGACAGAGATTGTTAATGCTTTTGTTTTTCTGTAATTTCGTCTTCTCTCCAGGTGTCGGAGTCGACAACATGTTCATCATGATCGCTGGCTGGCGTCAGCTCAGCATCTACCTACCCGTTCACGAGCGCATGGGCAAGACCTACTCCGAGGCCGCCGTCTCCATCACCATCACCAACCTCACCACCATCCTCGCCTTCATCATCGGCGCTTCCATCTCCCTACCAGCCATCCGCGCCTTCTGCATCTACGCCGGAGTGGCCATGTTCTTCGCCTACTTCTACCAGATCACCTTCTTCGGCGCTTGCATGGCGTTCACCGGCGAACGCGAGGCGAAGAACCTTCACTGCTACACGTGCAAGAAGGTAGTGTCCAAGGACGAGTCGCCCAACAAGTTGTACATGATCTTCTGCGCCGGTGGCGTGCCGCAACAGGACTCGAAGTGCAGGAAGCCCGAAGGCCACATCATCCACCCGGTCATGGTATTGTTCAGGGACTACTACGGTCCGTTCCTGATGAGGAAATGGGTAAAGCTGGTCGCGATGGGGTTGTTCATTGCTTACCTCGGTGGCGCTATCTATGGCTGCATGAACATTGATCAAGGGTTGAAACTACGGAACTTGGCCAGAGACGGCTCCCCAACATGGCGATTCTACAAGGAATACGAAGACTACTTCAGCGATTATGGCCCAGTCGTAAGTGTAGGGGTGACAGAACAAGTAGATTATTGGAATCAGTCTGCGCAGGACTCGCTGAACGAAACCCTCGCTGAAATTGAAGGGACGCATCTCTTTCACGGCAGCGAGATTAGCGTTTCCTGGCTGCGCGTTTACTCTCAGTACCTCAAAGCAATCTTCCAAACAAGCGAAGTCGATAAGGACACCTTCCTGACGATACTCCAACACAGGTTTTTGAAGGATTATCGCTTCAAGCAATTCGAACTCGACATCGCGTTTGAATACGCCGCGGACAACATCACCGCGGTCGACATCAAAGCGTCAAGGTTCTTGGTGACGTCACGCAACATGCAAAGCGCCATGCAAAAAAGAGACATGATGTTGGAGGTCCGCGAAATCGCCATCGAATCCTCCTTTAACATCATCACCTTTCATCCGATGTTCGTGGTATACGACCAGTACGTCGGAACGATACCGAACTTGTTTCAGACGCTGGGGATAGCGATGGCGTGCATGATGATGGTGTCTTTGATCATGATCCCGCATCCCATCTGCGCCATCTTCGTCACGACCTGCGCCATCAGTATCGACGCCGCCGTCATCGGGTACATGTCGCTCTGGGGCGTCAGCCTCGATACCGTCTCCGTCATCAACATCATCCTCTGTATCGGGTTCAGTGTCGACTTCTCCGCCCACATCACGTACTCGTTCGTCTCCGCGCCCGACGAGGAGCCGAACAAACGCGCCATCGCTGCACTCTTCGCAGTCGGCATGCCAATCGCCCAGGGCGCCCTCTCATCGATGATCGCCTTGAGCCCCCTCGCAACAGCTCCCACCTACCTCTTCAGGACATTCTTCAAAACCCTTTTCCTAGCCATGTCCTTTGGGGCACTCCACGGCCTCGTCTTCTTACCTGTTATCCTCTCCTTCCTCGGGAACATCATCCCCCGAAAGCACGCGAGAGAAGAAGAAGTAGAAGTGGAAAAGAAAGACATTGATCAATGCAATATTTACATCAATTACATGTTAGAACCTCCCGTTATAGCTGCAGCTCCCGATAATGAATTCTATGTCGTCGAAACAAAAATCAGCACGGTATGACGAAAGCACCACTTCCATCAGACACCAACGCTATAGTGACTGCTGTTCGAAGTGGTATATTCAACACTCTAACTCCAAGTGCCTCTATATATTTTTTCATTATGACATAAAAGAGAAAATGGCGATATGGTTGTTAGAATTTTTGTTGTTGTTAACAATGCAATAACTATGAATATATCCAATGTGCTACCGTGATCGGAGATGGGTTTCGATCAAACATCGTAGCCATTCTTGTAGGTGCCGTAAAGACAGCTTGTCATAATAATGGCCTAGCTATAATTGGACAGTTTTTCACAGGTCTTCGGCATTCGTATCAGATGCTGTCTTTCAGACCTTTGGGCAGTCCGAACTTTCGGAAAACTTCGGAACACTTCGGAATCACGACCATCAGAAGTTAATTTGACATTGACTGGCTGTCTTAAGTAGACCGAATGGTTTATCGCAATGTGTCATTATAACCGACGCATGTTTCAATCGAGACCATGGTCTAATGCAACCGAGACCTGCATACAATAATAATTATGCGATATTATGTGTGTAATGTTTTCGAAAGGATATCGTGGAATGGGACAAAGATGCGCTTCACGTTGCGTCTTTGTGAATGGCCTTTAGGTCAAGTTGAAAGGCTCCATACAAGTGACCTTTCAAAGTGTTTGGTATCAAAATGTGCAGGTTTGTGTGCATTTGGGTCTCTATATAAAATCTGAATAAATTAGGGTCCGGAATTTACATCTAGTAAGACCCATTCAATCGGACCTCTGTTACAGTCAAACGCTGTATATCGTGACGTCATAATGCCAATGTTGGAAACTTTTAATGTGAGTCAGGTGTTCTACCAAGTCTGCCAATTCCAAAATGCTGCTTTTCATTAATAACTGTGATCATCACATCACATCCATAATCTAGAGTAAGATGCATCTACATTCAATCGGGGTTTCACTAGTAGTTGTGCCCCATACCTTCGCTCAAATTTTCAGTCGACAAACTCACCAAATCTTGTCGGACTTCTCGGCAAATTTCACGATTAAAAGGTTATCCTTGTCGGCAAATTTCAAGTTATGGACTCTGCCCAATAACGATTCACAATTGACCCAAATTGATCGCGAGTCCTTCTATTCCAATCATTGGAAAACTTGCAAACTCTCTTGCAAATATACTTGATATCAAGTTACATCGATCTGAATTGATCCCCATGTTTTAGAAGACGGGGGTCTGCATGTTGTCGGCAAACTTTCACATTTCTGGCCATGATTTATCCTTGTCGGCAGTTTTGGAAGTAGGTAGTTAATTTTCCCTCGTTGGCAATCCTGAAAATAAATGTTGTCGAGTACTTTGCCATTCAGAATATTCTAGCGACGCCTGAGACCATCTTCTCGCGTTTTGAGCGCCATTTCCCCCCTTCTACCAGGCGAAAGCCTCCAGCCGCGATAACTGTATTCATTGCGCCCTCTCGCGCCATTATCAGGGTTATCCTCGCGTTCCGTTCATGGTAACTGTGGTAACAGGGTCAGTGCGTTTAATACAGGGATTTTATTCGTTGCATTTTTGTTCATATTGAGCAGATATTTTCTTCATCTCATAGATTACATGTTTCATTCCAAGATGCATTCCAATTTTCATCAAACTCTCCATGTTGGAGAATGTTCAAATTTATAAAGATCATTGGTAAAAAAACAAAAGAAATAAAAGATATATGGCTCAATGTAAAGATACCTAAAATGAAATAGGGCGAGATTATATTCATTGCATCTAATATATTATATCCCGCGGAAAAGCTGGTTTTCTGTTAAACATTGTTAATTGAAATAGAAATAATAAAGGTGAAGATTTAAACATCAGATTTTGTTTTTTTAAGTGCAAAGTTAAATAAATGGGCACAGATACCTTGGACAAACTTAACCATCAAGAATGAAAGGAATAACAACATTCTCATGTTGAAAAAAAAAGTTCACCACCTTTTTGTTTTCTTCCTTGAAATTGGCTAATTACCTGTTCACTACGCGCACTTTTGCAGAATCTTAGTTTCAAAGAAAATCAGAAATTAAATTGTTTTAATTTAGCTTCGCACTTTTCCGTGCATTCAACCCGTTAACATGTCATTGTGACTTTGGCCGAAATCGCAAGATAACGTTGACAAGTTATCAGATTATTGAATTGCTGTTTGTCTTTTCGTACTGTTTTTTTTCTTCTAAAAGGTGTATACTATTTGCTTTTGCGATATAGTCTCATCACCCGATACCTCAGGTTATTTATTTTTTAGATTTTGCCAGAAGAAAGAAATAAAATTAACTAGGGCACAGGAGACAATAATACTCGTGCGTTATCAAAGTTTCTGTCAATATACTGGACTTTGAACGGATTAAAGTGACCAAGGAAAGGTTATACTGATAAAGCGAAGCGTCGGGTAGGTTAGTTTTAAGATAAGTCTAGAAGGATTCAAGATGTCTGGGGTAAGAGGTGGGAGGGATGGGTGGTAGGGGGGGGGGGGGCTTTGATGGTCGGAGAAAGATAGTGTTGTGGAGAAGATGGGGGGGGGGGCAGCAAAGTACAATTCAGCGGTCAGTTCGCGTTTGTCATCTCTTAATTTAAAATTAAAATCATTAAGGAAAATGATGTTATCTTCATTATATGCGGTGTATTTAATATGTATTTATCTTGTTATATTTTGTTCTTGTAAAAGAAATATCATTATCAAATTGTGCAATGGCTGGGTCGAGGGTTACAATCATGATCGAACCATGGTCTTAAGACAGGTCCATGTTTGAACAATCTTTTTTTTTTTTCATTATTGTTTTTTTGTTATAAACGCGAGTGCTACGTAAGATAAGATTTACAAAAAAGGTTAAACATTCCAGTATATGTGTATCATGAGCTTTGGTTCAATAAATGAATTAAACTAATAACGCAGAAAGAGCAGTGAAAAGAGAAGTATCTTATGAGTCAAATAAAGTTGTAAGATATGTTGGATCACAAAAAGAATTGACATTCCACGTGGCATCACTCACATTCTACAAATAATTATCCCCCGATAACTAGAAAACGTTGATTTTGTGTGGAGTAAAAATCTTGACTAAAAATACAATTTCTTGTAATTTCCAAATCAACTCCACAACTGATATTTAAATGAAATATTGTAATATGGTGCTAAAATCGTGTTTTACTAAGTGTGTATTGATTGCCATGAAGAATTAATTTTTCCTTTTTTACTTGCATATTTAAATATCATATTATTTTTTCTTAACTATTTCTGATCTGTGTTAGCACTAAACTTCCTTCCTTCATATTTTTCTCTACCGATGTGTAATCATGTTAATCACTTAATTACACACATGTACAACATATAATATTATATATTTTTGTAATAGTTGATCAGTACTAAATAGTAATTCCAATCATTCTCTTGATCCTGAAGAACAACGGGATGATAGGAATGTGTAATCTTTAAAAATGCGAAGATTGTACTTTTTCATTTGTTCATTTACTGAAAGTGTTTCATTATGAAGGAAAATAATGACCAAAATATTATCGATATATTATCTTAACATGCTCCTTTTTATATTCATTATTTTGACATTCCAAAGTAAATGTCATGTGCATATCTCGTTCCAAATGTCGCAAAGATAATATGACAAGTTTTGAATGAATATGATTGTATTTGTTGTTGTTTTTTGAGAAATGGCAGACACTGAACATTAAAAGTATATATTCTTGTGTAAAACAATAATATGGCGCTGTCTCTCCTTTGTTATTCTTAACGGAAGGATTTGAATTGTTCGTGTTATAACTAGTTCGGGTGAACAAACTTTTAGATGAGTTTACATGGAGTGCGAGGGGATATCATGTGTCGTGTCAATGACGTTATGGATGAAAATGAATATATTGATAAATTTCTGCAGGGAAGAGATGTGGGCGATGATAATAATGATGGTGATGATGACGATAGCGATGATGATGACGATGATGATGATGATGATAACGGTGATCTTTGATGATACTGATCATAATGGTAATGATAAGGATGAAGATTGTGGTGATGCTGATGGTAGCGTTGATGTAGATGATCGAAAAGTTGACGAGGAAGATGAAAAAGAGGATACTATTGATATTATGATGATGATGATGTATATTGTAGTGTTGGTGGTGGTGGTAGTGGTGGTGGTGATGATGATAGTGATGATGATGATAATTGTGATGGTGATACCGATAATGATGGTTGCGGTTTTGGTGGGGTGATGATGATGGTGGCGTTGGTCTTCATTTGGTAGTCCGACATTTTGCTCCGGTGACAGTGTTGCTTTGCCCTTAATCCGTCCAAGACGAGACGAAGAGTTGGTGTCAGAGTTGTCAATTCATTATTTACCCAAGGGTTGTCAGATTTGGGATACTGAATTTTCACTGTTACTATACACTCATTACTGTCAATTGTATCGCAAAGCGACTTGGGAGAACATGAAGCAAGAATTCAGATTCAGATCCCAATTCAAACTCGCAGTCAGTAATTCATCAGGTTCCTTTGTACGGAAGAGCGCCATCTCTTGTTGATTACATTAAAACGTACTACATTCCTTTTACCCAATATTCAATACTCTCCTTTTGCTAAGGGCAAATGGGGGGGGGGGGGGGGGGGGGAGTCACAGGGGCCCTGACCCGTATTCGCTTGTCATAAATCTTTGCAAATAAGACAATCCCCGTTCACGTTTTTGTTGTTGGCTTGTCATACTTTTAGAGGCAGGCCTTTTGACCACGGCCCCCCACCCCTTTTTTTTAAACACAAAATCTTGGATCAGCTCCTGCATATAATACTTTATTACAATAAATCAAACGTCTTAGCAATAACACAACATAATACACGTACCAGTGAATTTCCACTCTTATGCATAGTAAATTAATATATTTTTATATGTTGGCAGTAACAATACACCAAATATACAATTATGGCCCTTTGCACGGTTCCGGGAATATATTTTGTTTGCTTTTGTATTGCTTTCTATCCAGCAAGATGGGTATTTTTGATAATACAGTTAACCCATCGCATGCAGAAACCGAGGGGTCCCTGTATTATGCTTATGGAAAAGAGAGAATTCAGAAGAAAACGGGTTTATATTTCTGTGCTAGGAAAGGAAGTTCGTATCATCAGTGTTGACTGGCCGTAATATTTTGGCCTTGAGTTTTGAGTTTAGTTTCTTTTATTTCACATGAAAAAAACAATACGTTAACAAAACATAGCATATTTACAAAATTGATAAAGACATCTACACAGCATGAGTTTGTATTGCATTTACACTAAATAATGTCATAATTACATGTGAAAAATGGAACTTAATAAAAAGCATATAGCTTGTAGAATTTAAGTTCCTCAAAATAACTTTGATACAGTGTCATTAATAATATGGAAGAAGTTGAGTATAATAATTAAAATGCAGAGTATACAGACAAAGACAATGAAATGATATGGATGGTGGATGCAAGAAAAGAGAGAAATAGGAAGAGAAGGTAAAGATTGGGAGTCAGAAAAAGAATGAGAAGAGAATAAAGGAAGTTTTAGAATAAAATGTTTCTTATGCTGGGTTTAAGTTGTCTGTATAAGTTTATATATTCAATTCTTTCTTTCTGTAATTATTATGTTATTTCAATAATGCGGATAAAATAGAAATGCTATCTAAACGTAGAAAATCCCCGCATAAATAAATTTAACATAAGCGCAAAGACTTTCGAGAAATCAACTAAAGGTCAATAATCCCAACCAATAGTTTCTCTTCAAACCAAAAATTAAATCAAGACCCCCTTGTATTACATATACAAAAATCATGTTCAGATTATGGGATACGTCATATTGTGATAAACAGGTCATGGACAAACTTATTACATTATTATTATTATCTTGAGTTGGTTTCTTGAAAGTCTCGGCGGTTTCACAGATGAAAAGAATTAACAACATAAGTCTCGAAATGAAGAAGGGGAAAGGAGTAGGAAAACAGAATGGAAAAGAGCAAAGAAGAAAACAGTCAGGGCGGAACAAAAAGTATTACCCATAATTAAATAGTAATATAGGCATGATACAGTTGAATTT